GGCTGGCCGAGGCATGGCAACCGTATGGATCGCCTGGCTTAAAAACTTTGCAATATTAGGGTTGCTACACTTGTGCAAGAATGACGTCATTAGCACCCTCCACCCTCATAATTAAAGTAGTCCCAACACGCACACACACATACGCTCTCACACATAGACATACACACACGTCATAGGTTATGGTACTTGCTGCCTCAAAGCGGGCTGCGGTGTAGCTTAAATTGAAACTACAAAACAAGCGTGCGCAATTGACTGGCACAGGTCCTGCTGGCTAGCCGAAGTATTAAGCAACTGCATGGGTTGTATCAAGTGAACGGCGCCTGTCTAGTAGCAGTTCTTGGGCTGCGACCTTAGAGGTGAAACATGTGTTGAGGTGGTCATAAAAAAAGCATTGTGCTGCTGTGCACTGAAAGAGTGGCGTGTGCACATGGCTGGATCAGGTCCTGCTGGCTGGCCAACATATTTGGCAGCTACACAGGTTGCCTCGGGGCGGAAAACAAACAGCAGGATAGTAGTCCCACGACCTCCCCCGACCATATGGTACCCACCTCCACCCGTCATGTTTTAAGGTATTTGCTGCGTCAATGCGGTCTGCAGCGAAGCTTTACTGAGTCTGGCAAAATGAACGTGTGCGCTGGCTGGCATAACTCTTGCTGGCTAACCGAGGTATGGTAACTACACAGGGTGTCTGGTTTAAAGGGCGTGTTGCAATCTTAGGGTTCCTCCTCCTCCTCCACCACTACCTTTCCTTATGCATCATAATTTGTCCCTGTCGCACCCCGAAGCATTTTTGGGGGCGGGCCGGGCGTTTCGCTTGGGACTTCCTCACCATGTATGACTCCAAAGCTTAACCGATGGCAACATGTCACATGTAAGGCGGACCGTTTTCAAAATGTGGCTCTCGCCTTAGCGCCGTGCACATTCGTTTCTCAACGTTTGCAAAAGCTTCACGGGTTAAATGCAAATCGTTTTCAAAATGTGGTTCTCGCCTTGGCGCCGCGCACATTCATGTCAAAATTTGCAAGAACTTCAAGGATGGAGGGCGGTTCCTTGATAAAATGTGGCTGTCGCCTTCGCGCCAAGCAAATTCGCTTATGAACTTTAAGAGCGTTTCACGGATTCCCATGCTCAACGTACCAGAAACGGTGTTTTAGAAGGATTCCGGATTAACCAGGTGCAACAGTTTACGTTGACTCGCGGTGTTGAAGTTCCAAGAATGGCGTTCTGGCACGATTCTAGATCGGCAGTACGCAACAGTCAGGTTGATCCGTGGCGTTGGAATCCCGAGAATAAAGGTTTAGCATGCTTCAGGGTCTTCAAACGTTTGTCTTCCAACGAGGCAGTTCCCTCAATGGAAATGAACCGTTGTAGGGGTCTATGAAGAGGGAGGATTGATTCCAACATTGTTGATGACTCTTGGGTTTACACTTGTCCTCCTCCTCCTCCTCCTCCTCCTCCTCCTACCCTTCTGATCAGCCCCCTTCACCTACTTATCATCCTCTCTTTCCCTCACAATCCGCATTCTGCGCTACCCTCTAACTCGTTTTCCTCCCCGTCCCTAACACCTCCTGATGAGTTCCTCCCCGCCCCTCTCCTCCCTCCTGGCGGCGCTCGGAAAAGGGGAAAGGGGATGGGGGGAGCAAGGCAACTGGCTTCGCGGACGGATAGCCCATACCAGAATGACCCAAAACGGTACACCGCGCACATTTTGCCTGGCAAGGGTCCTTTCAGAAATGCGCCCACCTAACACCGCACCTTTTTTGCTCGCCGCCAGCCCCAATCATCCAACGCGAGAATCGTTTATGATGATCATGGAGCCCGAAAACTGACCCCCCCAGGCGCCGCGGTCTGCTGTCAGCCGAACGAAAACACTAGCCTAGCCTTCATCCGCCGCTCAGACCAATCCCGGTTTCCGAAGAGAGCCTTGTGGGAAACGCCCCAGGGCCCCGAAAACGCCTCCAAACCCTTCAGGTGAACCCCGACCCCCCCCCCCTCGGAACCCTCCAGGCCCCGCAAGGCCCAAGAACCAACCCTACCCGGCCGACGCTGACCCATTTCGGTTGTTTCTTGGCCCGCCGGGGGGTCCGTTTGACTACTTCCTGGACCCCCTGGCCCTCCGGGCGGAGCATCGACCGAGGATCTGGATGTCCCCGTCGGTCAGTCCCAGCTCTTCAAGTGAACCCCGAGATACTCCCAGAGCCCTCCGGCTGCATCAGAGAAGAACCCTGGGCGAAAGTGGCGTTTGGCGCGCGGTTCTTACCGGGCCGCGACGGGCCCGAATCTACGCGCGCGCACCATTGCCCCAAGGGACCCCCCCTGCGGGCCCGCACCAAAAGTCACTCCAGCGAAAGGGTCCGTCCTGCGCATTGGTCGCCCCCTCGCAGCCTCCGGGGGGTGGCACTGTCGCGGCCGGGGTCGGCGGCGTCTCCTCCGCCTTCGGGGCCTCCGCGGCCGGCTCTTCCGCCTTGGGGGCCTCCGCTGCCGCCTCGTCGCTCTTGTCCTCGGGGATGGGGGGGGGGGGGGGGGCGGGCGGCGACGCCCGCCGGGAGGCCCGGAGAGGGGAGGAAGGGAGGAAGGGGAGGAAGGCGGGAAGGATGGGGGAAAGGGGGGGAAGAGAATGGGGAGGAGGAGGAAGAGGAGGAAGAGGAGGAGGAGGAGGAGGCGGAGGAGGAGGCCTGGCTCAGGAGCCCGCGGGGGCAGGGCAGCGCGATACACTGCAGCGGTGAAATAAATCAAAGATAATCGAGAGACTTGTGCCGCGCTCGCCGACGAGGCGGATTCACCGGACAATCTTTTCCAGGCCTCATCATCTGGAGCCTTGCCACTCCACTAACAATGCCCTCCCCGCGTACAACATCGCCTCAGCACATGTTCGACTTTCATCATTTGTCGCCTCGAGGGCTGTACATGTCCCCGCCGCGTATACATTACATCATACTGCCATAACGAACTCCTCTAAACGATGACTCGACAAACCCACTCGTAGCCGGGCAAACGCGCTACATGTCCAGCCCATCTCCATTGCTGCACGACTGAATCATGCCCCAGCCCCTCAACCTAAAACCACATGCCGATTGTTTCGCCTGCCTCGTCGCTCTATGCACCCATCTCCCCCCATACTCCTCCTCCGTGCGCCCGTTGCATGCCATTATCGAGATCATGGCAGGGGAACGAAGTGTCCGTGTTTTCTCCTGCCTAGGCGCTCACGATTAAAATCCCCACATCACATTCCTCGTCATTATGCAGTTGCACAGGCGTGCGCGTCTCTTCTATGACAGGTTGTTCCCCGCCAACACTCTTGTCAATGCCCAAAAGTTGGTCCATGCTTTCGCTATGCGGTGATTAGCGTCGCTCCCTGTTGGATCCTGGAGGGACAACGTGGTCCCCAAAAACCCAAACATTTACCCGCTGGTATTACCTCCGTGGCGAAACCCTCCTCAATGGTGACGTGCCCCCGCTGGAAGTCGGGTCGGCCATGCTCTCTTACACTTCGCATGTTGCTGGGTGCAGCGAAAGCCCCCGGCTAAGCTAATCCTCTGATTCGCGGCTCATAGACAACCACGATCTATTTACCAACGTCAGCAAATACAACATGCGTAAACCTGTCTCCCCATACATCCCACCCTACTTGTATGTCATGACCTTTCTTTCCCCATATGTCCTTTGCTTTCCGTAAAGCTCTGTCGAAGACCGCACTGTGAAGGGCTCACTTGCCTCACCACTGTCATAATGCCAAATGTGCGGTGTTTGTCCCTGGCAATACTGCATATATCTTGTCATATAAAAAACCAACGACGGAGCACTCCCAACACTTCTAAACCAATCCCATTATCCAGCCATGCAGCAACAAGCGAAACATGGTGGATTAAGTCTAGTGGCTGTGCTTACCTCCAGCGTAGCAATCCAGAACTCCCCATTCTACAGACTTCTCTGTACTAGCAGTATATACAGAGCTCTCTACACTAGTGAACAAAAGATGAAGAGGAGTGGGGCGCAGATGAGGGGAAGGAGGAGGAACAGGAACGAAAGGAGGAGGCGGAGGGGGAGGAGGGAGGACGACCAGGACAAGAAAGAGGGGGAGGAAGAATCGGAGGAGGAGGAGGAGGAGGGCCAAGAGGATCAGCCGGACCAGGAGGACCAGGAAGATCAGGAGCAGGAGGAGGTTCAGGAGGATGAGGAGGAGGACGAAGGTTCTGCAGAGTCCTACGAAGTTTGTGTGGAGTCCAGGGGGGTCCAGGAGGCCCTGGAGGAGAGAAGGAAAAGAAGGGCTCAGGCGGCTGCGACGGGTTTGAAATGCTCCTGTGAAGCACCTGGGGGCTCCTAGAAAGTACCAAGAAGAGGAGGGGGACGAGGGGGAGGAGAAAGAAAAAGGCGGGGCGGAGGAGGGCGGAGAGAAGGATGGGAGGGGAGGAGGAGGGGAGGAGGAGGGGACGACGAGTAACAGAGCAAAGTAAGGATGCATCGGCGATGCGGCAAGACCCCCCACGCCCCAGACCACCCCTCCGAAGCTTAGAGGCACACGCTGCCCAGCTCACCACGAGCACCGCACCTCTGAAAGACGAGCGCCCCGTGGGCCTGCCATGCAGGCGAGGTCCCGCCCTCCATCCTTCCCATCGTGGTGAGGGCCACGGAGCACGGCCGGCATGCTCAGAGGTCTCCGACGTCAGCTCCGTCGTGACACGAGCCGCCGCCACCCGCACAGCTCGGGCACGTCTGAAGCGTCAGGTGAGGACGCGTGAGGACGTCCAGGGCCCGAAACCCGACTTGACACGGGGCCGACCTCCATCCGAGCACCTGCTGCAACGTCTTGGAACTGATGTAAGCATCTGCAGTCTGAAGGGGGAACACATGTTGAAACACGGGGGCGCCCTCCATCCGCGCAGCTGCTTCACAATTGCATGTTCTGGGGGTACGGCTACACCCACTGGACACCCGAAGCGGGAGAACTCCAATTTTGGCAGGGAGTCGCTCTCCAGTCGTGCGATTGCTGGCGCTGGTGAAGGCGAGTTGGCGCGACGCTGAAGCGAGCGCTACATGTTGAAAGTAGCTCGTGTTCCGTCCGTAAGGCTGCAAACTACAAACCATTGCAAGTAGAATCCTCGACTGGTTGGGCCGAGGGCAACAACTTGGGCCCAACCTGTGTCCGATCACCGAGGCCGCTGGGACTTGTGAAACTTCAAAACCAGAACTGTTGAAGACGTCTCAAAAGAACCACGCAACTCTCCCAATTGACACGTCTTGCGGTGCGACGAAGGCGTGCAATTTACCAAGACGAGGGATGACAAAAAGACGGTAACCGTCGGTGGTTTGTGGCTTGAGATGGGCACCCCTTCTGGAGGACAAGTAGGACGAGGGATGACGATGAGGAGAAAATGCTAGAAGGCCATTCTAGGCGATGGGGGTCCTGGCGGGGGGCCAACGGGTGCTTGGAGGATAGCAAGTAAGCAGCTAGAGCAGGCCCAGGGGGATGTAGGGAAATGAGACCGACTGGGGAGATAGGGGAACGCGGACAAGCCTGGGAAGAAGATGAAGAGGAGGAGGAGCAAACGGAGGGACAGACGGACGAGCCATGAAGAGGATGAGGAAAAAGAGGCGAACGAACGAGGGTGGAGGAAAGGATCGGAAAGGGGGATATAACAATATATACATACATATATATATATATAGATATGCTTGAACCATGAGCGCGCTTCGCGCGCGCTTCGGTTCTAGCCAAGCTCAGGGACGGGATTAGCTGTGAAGCTACAATGGAGCAGAACGTCGACAAAAACAAGATATGCACGAGGACATATGGAGTCAGCAAGAGGGGGACAGGGGAGGAGGGAAGCCTAAGTGTGTTTCTTTGGGGCGTCGGATGGCCGCGGCCCATACTATGCCTAATAGAATGAACGGGTTCGCGCAGAGTGAGGGCGTACAAGGCGCACAAGAGGGATGGTGCAGAGCAGGGCTTGGCCATGCGAGGTCCAAGCAATAGCCCACGCGATGAAGGTGCACGACGCGAGCACCGCTGAGATATCCAAACACTGCGGAGGTGGTGTGGCCCTGCCCCATGGTGGTCCGGTCACGTTCGCCTATGACATTCTCGCAGCTCGGGTTTCCGAGATGCCCTGGGCTGAGGTGGTGTGGCCACTTTTGCCCGAGGCATTTTCGCAACCCTGACCTCTGAGATGCCCTGCCTGATTGTGGTCATTGCTTCGCGCCTGAGACAGCCTTGCAACTCTGGGATCCGTGATGCACTGAGCTCAGGTGATCAGGCCACTTTCGCATTAGACATCCTCTCAACTCTCACCTCGAGGATACTCTGCCCCCTGGTGGTCCGGCCGCTTCCGCATGGGACATCCTCGAAACTCTGGGTTCAGAGATGCCCTGAGCTGGGGTGGTCAGTCCACTTTCGCCTCAGACATCCTCGAAACTCTGACCTAGGAGATACCACGCTCCATGCTGGCTCGGCCACTTTCGCCTGGAACATCCAGGGAACCCTAGATTCCGACATGCCCTGAGCTGAGGTGGTCTGAACACATTGGCCTGAGATATCCTTGCAACTCTGATCTCGGATATTCCCTGTCCTATGGTGGTCCGGCCACGTTCGCCTATGACATCCTCGTAAACTGTTGACTCTGAGATGTCATGAGCTGAGGTGGTCATGTCACCTCCGCACGACGACGACGACGACGACGACGACGACGACGACGACGACGACGACGACGACGACGACGACGACGACGACGACGACGACCGAACTCGGCGACGACAACTGGCCATCCGGGGTCGTCCTGGAGGCGTCTGGCGCTCCTCATTGAAGCATCTGGACAATTCGTTCGGATCTCGTGGCAAGTCTCTTGGGGGCCTCCTGGAAGCAGTTCCGAGGCTCTTGGGCCCGGTTCAGTGCCTGCTGGGGGCCGTTTGGGGGGCTTTGGGGGGCCCCTCGGGAGCCTCTTGGGGGCCCCTTGGGGGCCTCTGGCGGCGTCTTGAGGGCCTCCTGGGCGCCTCTTGGGGCCTCCTGGGGGCCTCTCGGGGCCGAGGGCCCAGAAAGTCCGTTCGGATCTCCCGTCGGGGCCCCTTCTCACAGCCGTCTTGGGGCCCTCTGGGGCCGTCTTGGAGGCCTCTTGGGCTGTCTTGGGGCCTTTTGGGCCGTCTTGGGGCCAACTTGGGGGACTCTTGGGCCGTCTTGGGGCGATCTTAGGGACCTCTTGGGCTGTCTTGAAGCGTCGGGAGACCGAAAAGGCGAGAACCAAAAAAACCTTTCAAATACCTTCAAAAAACCATCCATTTTTGTCTCTTGGGGCCCTCTTAGGAAGCCTCTTGGACGCTTCTTGGGGCGTCTTGGAAGCCTCTTGGGCCGTGACTATCTTGGGCGTCGTGGAGCGATCTTTGTGCGTCTCGGGGCCCTCTTGGACGATCTCGAAGGCCTCCTGGAGCCGTCTTGGAGGCCTCTCGGGCCGTCTTGAGGCCTCTTGGAGGCGCCGGGGACGGGGTATAAAAAAGGGGGCCGGATGGTTG